TGCTTAACATTTCCCTTGTAACCCCTGTTGCCATTTCCTTGTAACTTTGGCAAATTTCAGCTGTTCAGGCTGACATTTTCCATGTATATAAAGCTCACACAAGGGTGAGTTGCCCTAATATGTTCAGAAAGGTGTCATTAAACAGTGTAATAAATGGTTTTCAGAGACTTCAGAATCTATGTCTAAACATTTTATATTTTAGCTTAAAACTTGGGACTTTTTTATTTTTCCCTATTTTCACTTATACAAAATACTCAAAGGTGAATGGAGGCTATGATGGTAGGTGATAAATTCCTTGAGATAACCAAAACTTCCACAGTGAAATTGCTGTATTCATGCATATGTGGATTGGAAGGCCTGAAGGGACAACTGTAATCATCTAATGCAACCTCCTGTATAACATGGAAAATATGAATCCAGTAAACTTCTTTGTTACTTGAACTATTTTTTCTAAAGCCTCCAACCTTGGCAGTGCTGGAGAATTCACCACAACCTTTATTCCAGTGCTTAATTACCTCCATTGTTACAAATATGTACATTGCTTCTCCCCTGGGTGTATCTGGCTTTATCTTTCAGTTGTTTATGATACTTCTGTTGGTTTGAGAAACTCACAATCAATTAATACCCCATTTAGGTACCAGTATATCTAGTCTGTGATCAAATCACTCCATAATCTTTTATTTGATGCACTAAATAAACTGAGCTTCTTCCCTTTCACTAAAGGCCAGTTTCCCAATCCCATATTGGTTCTTCTGGTTCATCTCTGAACTGTTTCTAATTTATCAATGTCTGTTTTGAACTTTGGAAACCAGAACTGGACACACTATCCTGGTAGCAGTTGCCCTAATGACAAATATATATATAGAGAGAGAGACAGAATACCCCCTGTCTGTGCTTGCTTATTCCCATGCTTATATTTCCAAGGATATTAATACAGATAAACAGCAAGTTCAATATCTAGGAAGCTAAATATCTGGCCCTTCTGGCCAGAGCATTGAACTGGGAACTTGTCATCAGCTAATGACACACTGTGACCCCAAATTCTTTTGCGAATCACTGTTTACCAGGATAGAGTGCTCCGTCATTAAAGTTTGGCCTCCATTCCTTCTTCCTAGATATTTAACCTGATGTTTATCTGTATTATTATGCATCTGGTTTGTCCCACACTTCTCTCTACTGGTGATTTGCTGTCATTATTTACCTCTCCTGCCATCTTTGTGTCATTTGCAATTTTAGCAGCAAGGTTTTACTTATTGATACATATAATAGCAAGGGGACAAGAGCTGATCCCTTCAGGGCCCTTCTACAAGTACCTGTTTGATGATGATTCCCCACTTACAGTTACAGTGTGAAGCCCGTCATTTATATTAAACCACTGAATGTGTGCTGAATTGATTTTTCATTGTTCTAGTTTCTTAGTGAAAGTGCTCCATGGTACAAAGTCACATGTCTTACAAAAGTATAAGGGGATGTCTACTTCACAGCAGCAGCCTATCTAGCACATCCTTCCCACCCATCCACTTCCACTCAAGCTTTCTGAACCTGGTACTATGCTGGTGATGCCAGCATCCCCCCCAGTTGCTCCCAAGACCTTGGCTGCTGGGAAGGGAAAGATACTGTTGTACTTCAGGGGTTGTAGCATGGAAAGAAGAAGCAAAGGGGTATGGCAGTAGGAAGCATCCCTGCCTGGGCAAATGGGACATGCACCTGCTGCAGTGTAGAAATTTCCTAAACATATTACTTTCAGCAGCCAAAACTCCAGTCTAATCAAACAATGTATCAAGTTAGTTGGACAGGGCCTATTTTACGTGACCCCATGTGATAGGCATTAATTATATTCCCTTTTTAATTCTTTATTAATCAGGTCCTGTGTCAGCCATTCCATTATTGCACCATGACTGTGAAATACATACAGAGTGACAGGCCTATAATAACCTAAGTTGTCCCCATTTACACTTCAATATATTGGCTCAACACTGGCTTTCTTCCAGTCTTCTGAAATTTCCCCCAGTGCTCCAAGAATTATTGAGAATCAGCAATAACAGAGCAGAGAGCTCCTTAGCCAGCTCTTAAAAATGATTAAAATCAATTGGAGTTTCCGCATGGATTTCATCAGGACCAGGATTTCACTAAAAGTGAGTGGTCTGACACAAGAGTGTAACAACCCCGGTTCCCAACAGTGTGTTCTCTTGTGTGCATTAGTACAGTATCCAGGTTGTTGGTTGTAGCCGTGTTGGTCTAATGACATAGGCAGACAAGATTCTTTGAGTAAATGTGATATCTTTAATTAGACCAGCTAAATAGTTGCAAAAAAGTTACTTGCAAGCTTTTGGGCACAAACACCTTTCTTCAGGTATTGTACAGTATCAGCTCTATTCAGTGTACTGCAGCGCACCAACATATAAAAGGGCTGTTCAGTTCAGACTACAAACAGAACTGTAAACATGTAAAAGCAACCGTGACCACAATACCTGTTGTATTTCAGTATCAATAACTATATCCAACAGCAAGTGCTTGTAATGGATCAAGCTCAGCTAGAACTTGAATGATCTGGCACTTTCTTTGGTCAGAATCACCCCTTTTTAACTGTTGCTACAAGACTTTGTACTGTGTCTCAGCAACCAGTTTAATAACATGTCCGGTCAAATTCATGGCACATGAGGACATTCTCCCACCGTACAGTGCATGCAACTACCTTATCTGATCACATTATAAAAGTCATTCAATAACATTTCATGGAAAAAAATCTGTCAAGTCAGTCTGTTTCTTTATGAGGTTTCTTTATGAGGTTTGAATCAAAGGACAATTATATGTGACCTTCTCTCCTCCCTAAAATAAAGACAGCAAATGAAAAGAACAGATTGCTTTAAAAACTGTGGTGCCCTAAGCCTTGGTAATAAGCATTCATGTGATAAAAGGATATTCAGCCGGTAGTGTTCAGCACACACCACATTTAATCTATTTATTAAGCTTAAGTACAGGTGTTCTAGCCTGTTCTTTGGCCTATCATAGCACTGAAAGGAAAATGTATTAACTGTAAATACAGAAAAGGTTAGTTTGATGCTTTGGGGGGTATAACAGTGTCAATAAATGGCATAGGAAGAGCAATAATCATGATAGTATATTCTTCATTGAAATTCATTTGAAGCCTGTTGGCACTGGATTTATGACTCAGTTTTGATACTTTGTTTTGGGTGGACCTAAACCCTCAGACTGACTACGATTTTTTAAATTCAATAATAGGCAAATTTTATTGCTATCCAGTGATAGTAGATAAGAGTAATGCAGGCAAAGAAAACAAAATACCCCCCCCAATTCTACTTATCTACCAGTTTTTAAGAATCCAATTTCTAAAAGCAAATCTTTCAATATTATTTTTTAGCCATCAAAGCCTACTTCTAACCATTTACAGTGTTCTATCTTGAAGGTGTTTTATAACTGTTAAGTAATTAACTCTCCCCACCTCTCTGCAAGGTAAATGCATCTGTATTAGTATTCCTATTTTAGAGACTAGGTCTGAGATTTAGAGATAAGGTCTTTGAGCAAGAACTATCTTTATATAGTGGCTAGCACTTCTGGACCCTAACTTGAGCTTTTGGACACACTTCAAAGTAAATATATTGAATAATTATTTGTATATTAAGTGACTGGCCAAGGCTTCAGAGCTGGGATTAGAATCCATGCTCCTGTTTGTGCTCAGATCATATCTCCCATCATGTTTTAGACATGAACCTTGGGAGTGATCTTTTATATACAAATATTGATCTCTCACATTCCTTACATCACTAGAATGAGAAATAGAATCAAATTCTGAAGTCCTGAGTCCTGTGCTTCAGGGTTTTCTCTGCACTGTGGGTGTTAACTGTGGTATTAGGAAATACATGAGTGCCACTGATCGGTAGTTATTGCTCACAGAAATGTATGGATTTCATGAGTATGCAGTTTATTAAATGAATGTGAATGTGATCTGAGTCAAGATAATGCAGAATGATAGACACAAAGTTCCCTAGTATCATTTGGTAACCCTTTCAAGCAAGAGCTCTTGCCTGCACTGTGCTTGAGGCTAGCACAAATAAGAATAGGATACAACTAAGGGCATCAGATGCCTGAAACTTAATGCAGCCCTGGCATAAAATGGGCACATCTCTAAGTGATTTAAGCAGGAATTGTATTACCCACACCAGAACTGAGTTTATATTTGTCATTTATTCATGGTTAAGTGCAAAACCTTGCACAAAAAAGAACAATGGGTATGATGGACAATGCAAGCAATGAAGTGGTAGGTTGTGACTGTTGTGTAACAGAGCTGCCCAGACCTCTTGAGTCTCAATCCTACTTTCACCAGCTGGTAAAGCTCTGCCCTGGATGATGAGCAGAGCATTAGTTTCCTGCTGTTCTTGCCATTGCGACTTTGAACCAAAAAAAGGTCATAATTTCTCAATAGAAACCAATTTTCCTTTTTTTTTCATAGTCATGTGCTGACAGAGCATGCAAGCTGATCATCATCAATGAGAATGTGGTTCAGCAGTTTATTTGAATATCAGATACAATCAAGCTACTTTTCAAAATAGTTTAAATAGTTTGAAACCATACAACAAATGCATCAGAAAGCTTTTCGTTAGAGTTTGTTCATGTTTAGCACAAAACTTTGATCCGAGAACCTGCTCAAGGGGACTCCCACTCATTCTCTTGCTCCTATAATTAATACAAAAAAAAAGAAGAAGAAATACCAGTGTAAGAGACTTCTGGTGAAATGCTGCCCCCTTTGAGATCAATGAGAGTTTTGCCTTCAGCAGAGCCAGAATTTCACCCCGTGTTTCTGATAGCTGGAACCTGCTTCCATTATTTCCACCTGCAACTGGTGGAGCCTTAGGGACACATTGGTCACAATGCTGAAAGCTAAACGACATTTCACGAGCCAGGCCAAGATGTTTGCCTAGTTTTGAAGAGCTAGGAGTAGCTTTACGGTTTGCTGTTTCATGAACCACCACTGAACCTAGACATCCCTAGAAAGCTAACCACTGATTTATAACAGGGTTGCTGGGTTTTTTTCTCTTATCTCTGCTTCCGGAGAGATCAGAGTTTGAAATCATGTCACTCTGATTCCCATCTTAAAGTCTTCTCCAATTCCAATTTGACTGTACAGATTGTACCTCAAGAACTGACACTTAATGGAAATGTTCTGTATCTGAAAACTTGTCATCTTAAGGTACAAAAATCTATCTTTATTTCTGTGATTGTGTGAAATGCCGGCTGCTATAATTATGTTGTGAAAGGGTGCTAAGGAAGCAAAACAATCTCTAGCAGCCAAGGCCAATTCGTACAGGAGAAAGGGTGAAATAAGGATATTATTTCCAAATGATCCTGCCTGAGAGGGAAGGCAGGTCTGGTGACTGGCTGTACTTAAAGCACAGAAGCCTGGCGGCTGTCCAAGCCAGGCTTCCCCTCTGGTATATTCCTAGAAGACTTAGGCTGCCAGCGTGAGACTACACTGGTCACTACATGCATGTAGTCCCCAACCCAACACCAGCTGTCACTGGAGACTTTCCTTTGACTTTAGTGGGAACTGAGTCACACCCTTAAAAAGCAAAACCCAGCTCTTAACTGATGCGAGTTTTGAAATACATTTTTTTCTCCCCAAGTAGCTGCAGAAGATCTGCCCTAAAACTTTTTAAACTACATCCAGGAATTAGTATAATGTCCCTTGTGTGACACAGATATTACACTTAACATTTACAGCTAAGGAACATCTAATTGTAACTAACTCAGGAAATGCATGAAACAGATGTTTTCAGTTCGGCAGCATGAAAATGAGAGAGGTGGGTTCACCCTGCTTTCTCTCTCTCCCTCCTGTGCCTCATGCATTAAGTTTCCACAATAAATAAAATGCAGAAAAACTTGCTCCATAGAATCTAATGGCAAACCCTCCCCACTGACAGACCCACTATGCAGAAGCTTTTTCTTGCATCTCTCTCATGTGTTTGGATTTGGGGGACACAGCCCTTTTTAGGGGTAAAACTTATCTCTGTTTGCAACACACACTCCATTCTTCACCTCTGAAAGGCACAGTCTTTTCAACAAAATAGTAGGACCTGGTTTCACACAGTCGCAAGAAAGGTGTCTGACTTTGCACATGAAAAGGTGAAAATTAAAGTTCTGAGATGCAGAGAGCAGCCAGCGGGCGCTGGGTTGTAGACAGTCCCTTGACATCACACTGATTGCCTTACTCTTGTCCCCAGACTCCTCCTGGCCACCATCAGCAAAGAGGAGAGGGTGCAGACAGTCACGTACCGGAAAAGGATATTCTGGTATAGTATCTTGTGCACTGTTTGCAGGACAAGTGCTAAATGAGACTGACTTGAAGTGTGGAAAAGTAGAAGGTGGGGCAGAGTCTGTGAGGACAGCTGAATTTCTGGAGCAGTCTTTGAGTCTGGCGATATCTGCGTTGCTGGCATTGAGCATCAGGGCTTTTCTGCCTGTGTCGGATTTGCTAAGAAGGGTAGAGGGTGAATCAGGGTGCTTTTCTTTCCTTTTCTTTCCAGCTGCTCAGTGCTGTCTGGAGAACAGGTTTCTGAAGGCATTGTTGTAGTTTTTGTTGAATGCTGTGTAGATCAGTGGATTAAAAAAGGAATTTGAATAGCCGAGCCATAGAAAAATACTCTTCCAAAGGGGAGGGATGTCACAGGAGCAGAGAGGGTTGATGAGTTCTGTGATGAAAAAGGGGATCCAGCACAGCACAAAGACCCCAATAAGGATGCCCACCATGAGGGCAGCTTTCTTCTCCTTCTGCTCCCTCCACGTGTCCCCGTCAGTCTGGAAGGTAACAGTGGCATGACGAACGGTGAAGACCATCTGTGGTTGCTGGGAGGCTTCCTTCACCTGCCAAACACAAGCACAAGCTTCAGCATATGCACCTGAGCAGCTGCCAGTTGTCAGACCATGTATATCACAGATGTTACCAAAATGAGACTGCGAGAGTGGGGGATGCTGAGGATGTTTGGCTCGTCTTACTGATTCCAGAGACTCTGGCTGCATATCCCTACTCTGCAACAGGGAGCTGTGAATAACTGAGGTTAGGAAACTGAAGGCGGCAATGAAAACTGCGTATACCCAATTGCTCACACATTATGACAATCACATGGTGTAGATTTCACAGAGTCTAATTCCATCAATAAGATGGGACAAACGCTCACATATTGTTCAGCGTCCTGGGTGCTGCTTCTAACTACAGGGCACCTGATGGGGAAGGAGGACAACAAGCTGGGGGAGCAGGCACCCTATGGTACCAGAGCAATCCCTACGGCTCCTGAATGCATTTCAAGATAGCCTTGCAGCAGCACAATAAGTCAGCAATTTCTAAGGGGGAGAGGGGCAATGTGTGCAGACACAGCTCTTTTCTAACAGAAAAAAATGACGTAATTTAAGGGCGTGTGTGTGTAGATAGCCACATCCTTCCTGGCTGTGTGTGTGTGTGTGTCCATGCATGGAGGGCACCTCTGTTTTCCCACCTGCTCCCAGTTCACACAGGGCCAGATTTCAAAGCCCCAGCTGGCACGGATAAGCCACGCTCGGGGAATGCAGCGGCCTCACCTTTACCCAGAGCCTGCAGCCTGGTGGGTAGAGATACACCTCCCTGACCGCCTAAACTGCACCTACAGAGAGAGCCTCTGCCTGGGCCTCCCGGCGTCCCAAAACGGTCACAGAACGTAGCAGGTCCCCGGTTTAAAACGAACACTGCCCCCCCCTCACCCCCCAGCCCTGGCAGCTACCCACACCTGCCACCTAAAGCTCACC